TGGCATTTTCAATAAAGCAACAAAGCTCACATTTTTATTCCAATAGTTAGGACAAATGCTACATAATGCATGAAGACACAAATTTAATATTTCAAGCTTTTTATTTACAAAAAAAAATCCATAAGGATTTGATAGGAAATGAATGTTTCTTTTAGCTCAGTTTTCACTTGATAGGGAGTCAAAAAACTGAGCCCACACCAGGTAGAAGAGTCTAGCTTACATTGGCGATTCTTAAAAGCTAAACAACTTGGCCCTGGTTAAAACTTGGGTGGGAAATCACTTGGAATTCCATGGCTGTTCACTAGACTGGAAAACTGAAAACAGCATCATGGAATAAGGCAATAGCAAATATTTCCATAACGTTGGCAAGAATAAGAGAAAATGTTTCCATAAAGTTGGCAAGAAAATTGAATGAATGCAATCACAGGGAGTCAAGGTCATCTTGAAGACATCATTACCTTTTTATTCAGGCAATGTGTGATAGTAATGAACCACAGTATTGTACCATAGTATGAAGAATAATGACAATGCCAAATTGATTTACATAAATAGTATAATGGTGGTATGTCAGCTTCTAAGCTATTCAATATTTATCGGAATGTTTGTATCTGGTACTCTACCAGCTGACAAGACTGTTATTCCTGAACCAAATCAGGATGAGGTATGTTGTACTAAAAATAGACCCATTTCATTAATGAGTAAAAATGGAGAAATGCTATTTATTTAGAAAATTTATTATCTTGCCAACCAACCCAAGAAGATACTGTACTAGTACAGCTGGTACATCCTGATCAGGCAAGGTTTATTTGTTGTAGATGAGATGCTTACACATCAGTAAATCTTACCGCTTTAAATCATTCTAAGGTGGATCCAGATGTCAACATTTCAATGGATAGTGAGAAGGCCTTTGATAAAATGTATTGGCAACGCATATTTTTTTTTCCAAATTTTTATTTTCCCTCAGAGTTCTCCTCTCTTTTACTGTTTGATTTGATTTGGAACCATTAGCATCTGTGATTAGATCTAAGGCTACACTGAAATTCATGTTCTAATTCATACAGGTATAGAAAGCAAAGTAACCCATTTTTAGATGATATGTTGATATTTATTGATAAGCCTGAGGATTCCAAACCAAAAGCAACAAAAGTTAATTGATTGTCTAGAAACGTTCTGGGTATATTAATTGGTTTACATCTGAATTGATACCTTAGGGCAGTGTTTCTCAACCTTGACAATTTTAAGGCATGTGGACTTCAACTCCCAGAATTCCACAGCCAGCAATGCTGGCTGTGGAATTCTGGGAGTTGAAGTCCACATGCCTTAAAATTGTCAAGGTTGAGAAACACTGCCTTAGGGAGTTATTAAGTCTTCAAAATCAACTATCTCTGGACAGTCTTGATGGTACCCAAAGGCAATAACTTATCTTGGACTGAGAATACCTGAAGTTTAACTCAGATGGTGAAGTTGACTATAAATATATTGTGATTAAAAATAGTAATAGATTTAGGCAGCTGAGCTTCATTTAAACTGAGTATGTGGGGAAAACTAATACTTGAAAAATGAATATTTCACCATGGTAATGTATACCATACTTGCATAATATTCCTCCATATGTTCTTAAAATATACTTACAGAGGTTTCCTGTGCTATTTCAGAAGTTTGTTGGGCAAAACTATCCCATTTTCTTTCAAAAAATTGTCAATTAAGGAAGGCGTGTTTTCTTTTTCAGGTGAATGAATAGCAAGATCTATCTAATGTACCAACAGAAGGGAATATTTGCAGCTCAGGGATGAATTATGGGATCCTTGGTGCTCTCTGAGCTTGGTTGTTTTCTTGCAGATGTTTCATTACCAAACTATGTAACATTATCAGTGTTAATAGGGAGTGGAGTTTGCTCTCATTTTATATTCTAGTGACTTGCCCTATCACTATTGATGGGAGTGGTCTGATTGAGTTGATTGGGCTGTTTTTTTACTGTTGTTTACTTGCTTGGCAGTTCCTTGCTTGGGTATTGTTTGCTACTTGACTGTTGACCCAATGTTAATCTTGGTGTTAATCTACTGTACTGCAAAATTGGCCTCATGGCCCATTTTAGAATGAGCATATTTGGCTCCCCAAAAGATTCCAATTTCCTTAAAAACTATAGAATTTTACCTTCTTTACCCTACCCTGCCTGTCTTTTAATTTTTACAATCATGCTTAGCTAAGAAATGGGGAAAGCCAAACTGGAGAATGGCAAAGATATCCTTTTGTTAGAGAACCAACATGGCATGAAGAGCATACACATACGATCAATCAAATCAGGTGATATTTATTTCTTGTGATAGAACCCAAGAACCATTACCTGTAATATGTAGAGAGGCAATATTAAGCACTCCCAGAATTCCCCCCTAGTATTACAGGACTTCAATATAAATTAATAATAACTGTTTATAAACAGTTGTTGGAAAATATTAATTTGATATTTGAGAGTATACAGAGGCATAGTGTGAAGAACTAAATTGTTTGCTAAGTAAACATTAATGTAGTTTTATAAATTTAAGTGTATTATTTCAACAGAAATATTTCATATCTACTGAAAGAAACTGATAAATGCAGATAACTTGCATGTGGTATTAAGGACATAACACTAGTGGCTATGACACAGTCTTGTGTTACTTTTGTACTCCCTTTTGAAGAGAAGTTATTTTATGTACACTGGTTCACTAGACTAATACATGAAATAAATGTTAAGCAGAAAATGAGATTTTTGCATGTATAATGCTATTCTGTAAATGGTGAATAGGGTTTTACACATGCATAAAATGGCACTACTGATATGTAAAATGGTGAATGAATTTTGTCCATTGTAACTAAAGTGGACAAAATTGAGCTCCAATAATCTGAGGGTATACTGCATACTTTGGTTCTGAGAGATTCTTGTAGATGCCCATTTTAAAGTAACAGCAATAACTTGGAGATTAATAGAAGAATAACAAGAATGAGATAATGTATACTTCTATAATTGCAAGAAAGGCTAGGAGGCGACCTATCAATTACACAGAGGTCTGATCAACATTTCTCTCTTTTGATTTTTAAAGTATTTATTGATGGGATCTTGACCAGAGTTCAAGGTTGCATATTCTAGTTCTTATATTTAATAGAAAATAATATAAATTGACTTAAATATTGGTAATTTAACTGTACGGTACAATATGAAAAGTTTATGCATGAAGATATTGGAGGAGAGGCTACTGTCTTTTTTTTCCCCTTCCTATATGATGCAAAATATATTTTAAAACATACCTTGGCTTTTTGTTTTCTTAGTTTACAACACTATTGACTACCGGTAGCCATCATGGCTAATCTTCCCAAACAAGGCAGACTTAAACTTAGCTAGTACTTGAATCAGCACCCACTAGGACAGTGGTTCTCAACCTGTGGGTCGGGACCTCATTTGGGGTCGAACGACCATTTCACGGGGGTCACCAAATAACGCAGTCTGCCATTTCCCCCCCCCTTCCTTAGCTGTACTACTCCCTTTTATTCTATTGGCTTTTGAAAGCCAATAGAATAGACTCTCTTGAATAGAGTCTAATTCTATTGGCTTTCAAAAGCCAATAGGAATTGTCCAGGCTATATCTGCCCTGCTGAGCCCACCAAAAGTCCCATTCTGCAAACGGTGCTGCACCAGTTGAGTAGTCCTCGACTTACGACCGGTTGGGGGTCGCGGCATTAAAAAGGTTGAGAACCACTGCACTAGGAAATCCCACAATGGGAAGTTTTAAAAACATCCAGAAAATAGCAAGCTCTTTCTGTACTATTGAGAAAGTTCTCAAAGTCATCAGGAGGCAAGTTCAGCCCACAGGAAACTTTGAAGCCGCTCTAAATTCAGGTTTATGTACATCCTAGTAAGCACACATAGAACTCCACTACGAGGCTCTTCTTTTACTGAGAACAAGGAGTATAGTATTTTATTAAAGAGCCCTTGTGGCACAGTGACAAGAATGCAGTATTGCAAACTAACTCTGCCCACAGCCTTGGAGTTCTAGGTTGCTTAGCCTTCCATCCTTCCGAGGTCGGTAAAATGAGACCCAAATTATTGGGGGCAATGTGCTGACATTGTAAACTGCTGAGAGAGTGTTGTAAGCACTATGGAGTGGTATATAAATCTAGGTGCTACTGCTAAAGCCAAGTTAGAAAGCATTTTTATTTGCTGCGTGTGGATCTTAAAAGAACTTAGCCAGCCAATGCCTCCTTTCCCCTTTTTTAAAAAGATCAGGAATACAAAGGAACAACGAAAGGAACTATCTGCATTTCTTCCCGCTTCTTTTCATGCCACTAACCTCTTCTTCGACCTGAGGGGGTTTTTTTAGGTGGGGGGGGGGGAGAAGATGCCGCGAATTTATTATCCTCGGGAAGAAGACTCACTTCAAACGCCCCCTGCCGACAAGGGCACGAATTCCCAGCTTAAAGCTGCAAGAAGCTGGAAAAGCAAACGTTTCAAAGCAGACGCGCGATACAAAGTTGAGCTACGCTACACCGACGATCGTTTGGAAAATCGTGTGAAGTCACCTTTCTCCCTTTTCCTACCCAAATCCAAAGTTTCTCCGCCTACAGGGCAAGACCTCTAGTATACCTCTTTTATAACCACCACCACCCCGCCGCGTCTCTGCCTCCACTTCTCAATATACCCTCCCATTCTTCAGACTGACACACGGAACAGTGCAGCGCGTCCCATTTTTTAGTTTTTGAAGGCAACGCGAGGCGCCCCCACACACGCAGTGATCCCACGTACGCGCGGATTTTGTTTTGGTGAAACCGCGATGAAGCCTGGCAAAGCAGTGCCACGCAAAGTCAGAAGAGCAAACCTCCCGAACTCAGTTATATACCTTCGTGAGCCTGCCCGCCGAGCAAACTTCCCACTTCAAACAAGTAAAAACCGACTGAAATAGAGCGAGCCTTTATCCTCTCCGATAAACAGGGAGAGGGCGAGGCAGCAGGGCGCAACCGACTCTCACCTTTGTCGGGAAGGCTTCACTTTTTGCACACCTCCGTTTCAAGGAAAGGGCAGAAGTGCGAGGCGAGGCGGCTGCACTCACCGCAGAACTATCCTCCGAAAGGGGCTCGGGTCGAGTACTACTTGCACAGCCGAGCCAACCCCAGGAGGCAACCCGGAGCGCTCGGGAAGGTTCCGCCGAGGTGGGGAGTAAGAGAGCGGCTGCAGGCGGGTGGGGCAGATTCTGGACGGCAGCCTCCCCGGGGCGGAGGGGGCACCCGCCGGCAGCACTCTCCGAGACGCTAAGCGGGGAAATGAGCGGGACCTGAAAGGGAGCGGAGAGCGGCGCCAGCAGCAGGTCCCCGCTGGAGGTGACGGGGAGGCGGCGCCGGGGCTGCTGCATGTGCGAGCGGCCAGTTGCTGGCGCGGTTGTTGCTCCTCCTCTAGCCCTCGCGGGGAAGGATGTGGAATTAGAGCCGGCCAGCCCTCTTCGCCTCCCGCCGCGGAGGGAGTCGCTAAGGGAAGGCCTCGCCCACCTCGCTTCTTCACGTCCGAGAACCACCGGGCGAGCTCCGACTACAACCCTCCCTTCCCGTTGGAAAGTAGTGACGTCTCCCTTCTGTGCCTACTTTCTGGAGAGCTCCGAGGCAAAGAAAGCGGGCGACGGGCTCCCCACCTAGTATGCTCCCTTCAGCCTTCGATTTTGAGGCATCTTTGAAGCTGCAGCCTAATCCCTTCTTATAAGGCAAACCAGGTTGCCCAGGGACTGGCCTAAAGCAAGTTTCTGCGTTTTAGCCTGTGAAGAAGGACTTATAAAAGTTAGGAGCAAAGCCAAGAGAATTGTCCGTTGCTGCCTTTCAGACTCTCCCCATCCTAGTTCGTCCCAGATCTCATTTTTTAGCTCTCAGAACTCCATCAGGGAACCTTTGAATGGTATTGCAATACCAAGCAATAGCCTGACCAAGGAAAGTGAGTCGAGCTGCAGTTTTATACGCTGGCCTTAAAAACTCATAGGAGTTTTGGGCATCCCTTCAACCAGCCCTTTAAAGAGGAATCAAATATGCAGTTTAAATGCCAGTAATTAAGGGATGGAAAATCGAGTAAGTTGCTGTGCCTGTGAGACCTAAGCCCTTAGAAACACATGCACAGGTGGTTAGAATGCTCCCGGTAATAAATGTAAAGGGTCCTATGAATTCCATGCACACATGATGACAATGTGTTCCCAGTAATGAATCTAAAAGTTGGCTCATATATACATGCAAGGTGCTTGCCTTCTCATCAGTTTGGTCTTTTGATTTTCCTTTAGAAAAACATCTCACTGTCTTCAGTAAGATTTACTGTACCTTCATGGTTATCAGCTCATACACTTTTCAATTTCTCTTGACCTCAGTTTTTCCAGATGTGTGCCCATACTTCCCCATGATTGAAGATAAGAAGGGTTTATTAGATGATAAGGCTTTGTAATGTGTACAGTAGTTAATTTAAAAAAAAGGTGAAATCTTCATGGTCTGCATGCATGTTTTTCCATAAAATTAGAGAGAAGATAGGTGGGTTGGCACTGGATTCAGAATCCAAAATTTTCTTGAGATACTGTTTGGGCTTTAGCTTAGTTTCTACCAATTGTTTCCTGCAAATATCTTTCTATTGCAGGAATATTAGTCAAGGAAAAGGGTGGGCATTGTATTTTGGGACATGCCTCCTTGTTAGTCTTTCACCAGGTTATTCAGACTATTTTCCAGTTTTATTGACAGTCTCGAGAAACAGGTAATTGCTTCCTCTTCATCTTGAACTTGTAAGTGGACAGTTTTCGTTTGGAGGTTTTTTGGTAAGAGCCATGAATATGTAGGTGCCTTCCGATGTTTTGATTGATTTATATCACTCAGTGGATGACTACTTAATTGCCATTTCCGAAAGGTTCAGAATTTTGATTACTAATGTAGTATCTGTTGAGCTCTAATCTAATAGAAGCTTTCTGGGTTTTCAGCCAAACTAATCAAATCTTGGGATCAGTTTTGCAGTGTGAAGAAAGAGCTCCCCCTACAGATCGCTATCTCTGATTTAAAAAAGGCTGAACTATCCCTGTGCTATCTGACCTCATTCAGAGGAAATCATATTCGCATGATTTTATATACTGTATATATTATTCAATACACGACGATTGTTCACATTAAAATATGCCAGAACACTGATAAAGTGGAGAGTTCTGATGGGTCTGACTAAAAGACATACATATTTTAAGCTTCATAAACTCAAATGTTGTTGTTATATAGGTATTAATAGTCTTTAACTTTCTGATTGCCCTGTTGATAACAAGCAACTCTATGCATGTTTACTTAGAAATAAGTCCCACTGTGGTGGTTGGGGTATGTTGTTCCCAAGAGGTTGTCCAATGGATTGCAGTTTCAATCAACAAAATTTCATCATTTATTCTTAAAATAAACTTAACATTAGGCAATCTACTAGGATTGCATTTAAATTAAATTCCTTTTGCTTTCATTAGATGTTTCTTTGGACTATATTTTCTGGCTGATTAAGTTAATAAATTGAATTAGTACAACATTTAGTAAAGCCTTTGCAAAAGAACAATCAAAGATTGCAGGCAGGCTCCCAACTGCCTTCATTCCTCAGAGATTAAGAGGCTTAGCGGGTTAAGAGGTTTGTATAACTGAAGGTGAAAATTAAGTAATTGTCCCTGTCAGCCTGCCTAGAAAATTTATCCAAAGATCTCTGCTTATTGTGGGGAAAGACTTGCCATTTTTCAACTTCTTCAGCCAGCCATTATGGCAAAAGATTCAGTGGCTGATTTCCACAGTACCTGTTCTGCATCCTACCCAATGATAGCTAGATCACACTCTAAGCCAAAACAGATAAACAATGTTTTAGTACGGTTTTTTAATGTAACTTTACAAAACCTTACACAGGGTTTTGTTAATGTAACCTTACAATAAAGTAGGATTAACTCATCTGGCCATGTTTCTTCTCTGCTTTGCTTTGCAAGACTGACATCATTCTTGCATGTCTCAAAGTAGCTTCACGTGGAACAGCTTACATCCCACAACAATTCCCCCTAACACCATAAAACATCAACATCTGCCTGTCCCAGGTCCTTAGGAAGGACTTGATAGGTGGTTAAAAATGCCAAATCCAATCTGAACATATGGCTGACTGTGTGGCAAACTAATATAATACAACAAGTAGTATAGTGTAGTGTAGTGCAATGTAGTGTAGTGTAGTATAGTGGTGTGATATATAATAGTGTAGTGTAGTATAATGTACTATAGTATTAGTATAATATTGTACTGTAGTGTAGTGTAGTGTAGTATAATATGATATATATAATTAAAACAATACGATGCAATACAATATATAACATAACAAAACAACATAACATAATGTAACATAATAATATTATTAGAAAAGGTAAAGGAGTCCCTGTGGATTTTACTCCACAAGTTGTTGCCAACTGTAGGGAGTGTAGCTCATCTCCATTTCAAGGCATTGAGCCAGCACTGTTCAAAGACATTTCCTTGGTCATGTGGGCAACATGACGTCACAGAGTGCTGTTACCTTCCCTTCAAAGTGATGCCTATTTATGTACTTGCATTTGCAGTTGCTTTCGAACTGCTAAGTTGGTAGGAGCTGGGGCAAGGACAGAAGCTCACCCCATCACAGGGCATTTGGGTCTCAAACCTGGGCTGCCAGCTTTCCAGCTGACAAATCCAGTGTCTTAGCCACTGAGCTGTCATAATATATAAAATATCATATATATCATATCATATTTGTAATATGTTTTCAAAAATTCAAAACAATCCTATATATATAGATCTATACTATTGTTCTCACCAACTCACATTAAAGACACATGACAGATCATTAAACCAGGTACTACCAGATTCATGGTTCATCATCTTATTTCTTATTTCTGAACAGAATTCCATTCATTTCTAAACATATCATAGTTACACTCAATTGATGCATAGTACAATTTTCAATTTGCTATTTATTTCTTATTTGTAAAAATCAATATTTGTTTAAATGAGAAATAAATCCAAGAAGGTAAAATTACAAAGTATAAAACCAGTGCTTTTTTTTTGTCATAGAACGCACAGAACGGCGTTCCGGCACCTTTTTTTGAACGGAAGAACTGGTTCCTTCTAAGCTACCAGCGCAAGTACAGGTAATCCCCCTAACCCTCCCTGCCGCAAGGACTCACCTGGAAAAGATCTGTCTCCTCTCTGTTACATTTCCTGCTGCTGTTCCTATCTAGGCCAGGGGACATGTCCACAGCCCCCTGCAGCCCGATCCGGGCTCTGGAGGCCTGGAAAAGACCTCTAGAGCTCAGATCTATGGCCGCTGGGGGGGTGTGCAAAATTGCTCTGTGGCAATGGATCTCGGCGGCAAAGGTCTTTTCCAGGCCTTCAGAGCCCAGATCAGGCCACGGGGGGCTGTGGACACATCCCCTGGCCTCAGATCGGAGCGGCAGCAGGAACCACAGCAGAGAGGAGACAGGCCTTTTCCAGGTGAGTGATCTTTGCTCAGAAGCTCCCTAAAGCGGTTTCTTCTCCCCACCCCCTGTTCCATAAAGGGCTTTCAACTGGTGCCGGAGCTGTGCATGAGTTCCGACACCTTTTTTTTTTTAAAGCACTGTATAAAACCATAACACTACATATAGGATTTACTGAGAAAGTACTTCAGCAGTTGTCTGTAACAGTAGAACATATTCAAGGAATAGATGAAATAATAATTAATATTCTAGTGAGGAACAAATTTCTTACGACAAAGAGTGTCATTTTCTCTACTTGAGGTTAAGGGACAGACTTTTATTTAAATAGAAGTCTTAAAATATGTCATTCCAGAAAAGAATGCTGATATTGTTGTATATTGAATAATGTGTTCTGTTTTATTTTATTACTTAGGAGCTACCTAACTTTGAAACTGTAAGAAGAACCATAACATGATTTTGACCATTTGTTAATGATTGGCTATAATATGGGCCAGCTTCAGTCTTTTCAAACTGTAACATTTATACTGTTAAACAAAAAGTATGGATTTAAAAACTAATAGCAATTATTGAAAATCAAGGCATTTATACATTTTGAATGAATACAGTAGCAGCTTAGAAAAGCTTTTGTCAGTAGAATAAAGCCAGTATTCACAAAATATGTGAAATATGTTTGGAATTGTGGCAAACCAAATGCTTACGTATTTATTCTCTTTTCAGCAAATATTCAATAAATATGGATATAAATATTCAAATTATCAAAAGACAATGGATTTATTCAAATGCTAAGTCGGGAGCAGTCACAAGTCACTCCGCAATAAATGCAACCAACTGCCAGTACACAGAGCAGTTTACAGAGTAAGATCAGCAAAAATGTGGCTTTCTGTCAGAGAGACCATAGAATTCAACAGCTGATGAAGTAGGAGAAGACAAGCATAAAATAAAAATACAAATACAAAAGCAGAGACGTACAATATTGGAAAAGCATTGCATTAGCACAGTAGGAACTGGGATAGTTTATATGCAGGGCAGAAACACAGATTCAGTTGTTTTAAGCCCCCACCATCTCAAAGCCCCCCTACAAAAAAAAGAGATAACATATTTCTGCTTGGTGGCAGAAGAGAAAACTACCTGCTGGTGTCCAAGACCTGGAGATCAGCTAGTGGGAACCAATGACTGGTGACTGTGATCTCAAAGGGAGGAAGAAGTTGGCTTTGATTCATCCCATTCATTCTGTCTCTCTCAGACTGTTTCTTCTCAATTTTTATCAAAACCACAAGTGACAATGAAAGGTGGAAAAGGAAGGGAACAGATGCTGGATGCTGATTTTGGCATGCCATCCATTGGGA